TTTTTTTTTTTTGGTGTTTGGGGGGCTGGGGGGGGGGAAGGCTTTTTTGGTAAAACCGGGGGGTTTTCTTGGATTAAGGGGGGGGGGGGGGGGGGGGAGGCTCTTTCCATCACAAGCCTCGTTATGTGTATTGTGTTTTTAGTGTCGCTCTCTTCTTGGTCCCGAGTTGTGCTGCGTCGTGTGATCGATTTGGAATCGGTTTGGTTTGGTTGCCGGGCCTTCGTCGTTGGCGTTTCGATGATGGCTTGTCCTAGCAGCGGCACCTTTTTGTGGGAGCTCTTAAATGGAACTTTCGTCTATGCAAGACTGCCAAAACCCGGTAAGAGGGAAGAAGCAGCGGCGGAGGGGGGAGGGAGCAAAGGGGGGGAAGGCTTGTCTAACTACTTTAATAGGGTATACAAAGGAGCAAGATCACCGCCGTGCCGAAACGTGTGCTAGTTTTGGGCCGTGTGTCGGGCTCGTGAGCCTGGAACCGTTTGAGCCCAGCGGCTGTCTGTGTGCTTGTTTCGTGTACGTGTATGATCCTCGGGGATGAACGGTAAACCATCCCCGGTCTGGCTCGACTTGGCTTGGCGAGATAGTAAGCCATGTCCGAACAAAGCTACGAACGGCGGCAAGGAATCAAGGAATCGTCGTCGGGGTCAACGACGGCAGTCACTCCTCGAACCGAACAAGCTGGCGTCCGACAAAACATACAGAACACGTCAGGCTTTCAGCGTTGGGGACACCTGGATAATAAAACTGGCGTTATGGAAGAAAAAAAGCAAAGAAACCAGACTCGTAGAGCCTGCGATGCAGCATCGCGAGTGGCGAACCCCTACATCCAGGCCAGGACTTTAAGTAAGGAAAACCATAGCATTGCGCAACAACAGCAGAAAAGAGGCATGCGAGGGTTCGATTTGCGCGTTGCTTTGTTGGATTTGTCACTCCAACGCTCCCACCCTACAAACTGTTTTTCTCAAAGCCATGATCACCGTATGGTCCACTCGCGACCATCTTTTAGTCTTTGTCCCTGAACCATCACCAGCAGTAAATACCTGTTTTTTCCCCCTCAACGCGTGAACCCCCGTTGTCCTTGCTGGCACACAACGAACGCTGTTGTTTTCATCTCTAGCGATAAAGGTTGCCTAGTTTCAAGCTCTCCTCTTGTCAGTTTGGTGCGCTTCACATCTACTCTAAAAACAATTACGGTCGACGACTTGTTGTACCTGAGGTGTTCCCATCATCAGAAAGGTGTGCCCCTAATTCCGGGAACACCCTGCGGCGTGAATGACGACGACGCGTCTCGCGTCAAAAGGTCGTTGTACGCATACGACAATGCGGGCGGCATGGACACGATTCGTGAGCGGGGCTCGTGGCCCGGCGTGGGCTTTGCGATCGACGCACTCGAGGGAAAACGAAGACCACTCTTCTCCTGCTCGGCTGTGCTATGTAACCCAAACACGGCAAATGCAGGAACACAGCACGTAACATCGTGTACCCGATCTTGTGTGTCCGGTTGTGCCACGGGCTGCTGGTTGACTTCAGGGCAAACGATTGCTAGCGCCACGCCAATGATAACTTAACGGCCGTTTCTATCCGATGGACCCGGCTCTCCCACCGGAGGCCATTTTCCCGTACATTTTACTTTTCCTTTCGACAAGCAAACGCAACCCACCCGGACGGTGACACGCGGCCGATAACAGTAACTGCATGATTAGAGCTTGCCAACATGTTTGTGTCGGTCGTTGGAACAAGACGGTTCACACAAGCCAAACGCCGGAAATCCCGCCGCGTATGTATCGACGTGGTAAAACATGGTATGCATAGCCCCTGAGTACCGGAAAGAGACAGGCAGGAAGAAAAAAACGCGGCCACTTAGAAGAGGTGGGTTTGCCGTTGTTTGCATTTTCAACTTCACCCGCTCAGAAAAGAAAGAGATCGATCGTCAGCAAGAGGCTCCTAAAAGACTTTGATTAACGTGGAAGAGAGTTGCAACAAACAGAGCTCTCGCCTATCTATGGACTGGACACTAGGACGATGGAAGTAACTATTTTTGTACAGCACTCCCACTAAGCGGCCACGCTTTGCCCTATGTATCGAGCCGCTTCTCCTTTCGCCTTCTAGGCTCTTCTTGAGTGACTTGGTCTCTCGCCCGTTCTTCTCAGTGCTATGGTTTGTTTCTGTAAGCTCTGCTGCTGTCGATCCCCCCGCTGCCGCCTCACGCTTCGTAAGCCTGGGCGGGAAAAACACACACACACACAAGGGGGAGCAAAGGGAGCGGGCAGCGTCAATGAGGGGGAGAGACGGACTTGTGCGCAGCATACACCAAATGTCGACCCCCACGGGATGGGGCTATAGGATTCACCAACAAACACAGAGAAGAGATTTATCAGTTTACTGTTTCGAATCACCATAGTACAAGTGGATAAAGACAATACTGTGTGCACGCAACCAAAATGTAGACTTGATTATCGACGAGGGCAAAGGACTGGCTGAATGACTCGACCTCTCCATCAAAAACGAAGGCAACAGCGGTGGCAAGAACTGCCAAAAAACCTCCCTCCTGTGTATGGCCCTTCAGTGTGACCCCGGCTTGTGTTTCCAAAACATACCGATCGGTAAAAAACTGACGTCCAGAATAACCGCGAACACAACACACGAGCGACGTCGAAAGTAGAGACACTGACATGTTCGACTGAGCAGCACCGAGGCCTTCTTCGACCCAGACCCAATACGCAAAATAATAGTTGCACTCCCACGCACACGCACACCAACGACTTCGACATCCAACCACCCCAGGCACGTCACGTCGTCCATGGAACAAGAACGTTACAGTACCTACCTTGAAGGCGAGGGCGGCGTTGTGGCCTCCGAAGCCCAAGTTGTCGCTGATGGCAACCTTTGGCTTCACGGCGGGCACAACCTATCGCCAAGCAAGACGTGGACACAGCAGCCCGCCCGTCCATGTGTAAGAATGAGGTTAGGATGAGATGGCTGTACTAAACTCTCGGTACGGATGGCTGCAATGTCGTCGCTGGCACTTGAACCGAAAACAAATCGATTGTGTGGTCGGATGTGAGCAGACCAACAGTACAACACGCAGAAATGCCAGACAGACGTCCTGACTCGAGATTGAGAAATGTGGAAGGTCGCCAGCGAGGTAGAGGCAAACCGGCCGGTCGATAGGCCGGTAGACAGCAGGTAGACAGACGTACCCAAGGGAGGGCACGAGAGAAATTTCCCACATCGACCGAGATCGAGAGCACTACACATAGACAACGCACGCGCAATGAGTCATTCTCACCACCAGAGCATTGGCCACCAGACAGATTTCACCGACACACCGAGAGGTGGCCTGGCCACACAAAACACACAAAACTACAGTACCAAGTGCTTCTTGTACGTCATTTCATGTCCTGGTGTTTTCGTGTACGAACTCTCCAAGTAGATAGGTACTACCTTTATTGTACATAGAATACTCTCGACGTAGATAAAAAAAGAAAAATACAAACATACCTTCTCTCCGGGGCAGTAGTTGAGGTCGCACCCGTCTTCAAGGGCTGGGTTTTCCAAGTTCTTGGTTGGCGGGATCTCCCCATGCCTCAACACCTGCGCGCAGACGATAGCCTCTAGCCCCCCTGCCGCACCCAACGTGTGCCCCATCATCGACTTGGTGGAGCTGATGTACACCTGTTTCAAGCCGGACGAGCGCCGAACCAAATGAGGACGAGCTCGTGCAAGCCACCGCAGCGTCGTTTGAATCCAGTGTAACGTGGACAAGAACAACTCAGGTGTTTATAAGTGGGTGTGTTGCACATGGTTACAAAGAAAGCATAGAGTTTTTTATCATGCAACATGCTCACAAAGATGAAGCTGTTTAAAACCTTTAACACAACCAAGCATGCAACAAGCTCTAGAAACTTTCGTGCCACGAACGCGGTGCACAAACTATTCAAGACAAACCAACTAGGGTCTATTTCCTCTTGAAGCACCTGCTTCGCCACGTCCTCTCCGAGCACCCTCTTGATGGCCATGGTCTCGAACTTGTCGTTGTACGGAGTAGACGTGCCGTGCGCGTTGATGTATCCTCCCACCATGTCCTATTTATTATTAATACAATAGACGGCACAAACATAAGAAACATCCGACAACACGCACGCATAAAAAAAAAACAGAGGCACACAAAAACAATCCGAAACCAGCACAAATGAGAAGAAAGTGAAAGCGATGGAACCAAAAGACGCCCAACCAAGAAACAAGAACAAAAAAACGACGGAAACCGCGAAGATATGAAACGCAACACCGGCACGGCATATCCCACCTAAAAGTTATGGAACAACAGCAGTATCACAGCAAGAGCCATATTGGCCGTGCGCAAATGCCTTAGGGATGGACGCCTCCCACTGTCAAACATCCCGCAACTGGTGTAACCTTCTCGACATCACAATAGTGGGCAAGGTGGGGCCAGGCCAAGTCAGTTTGTATCCTACCCGCAAGGGCCACACGGTGTTTTCAGTGTTCCCCTTGCGGTTACTGTACCGTCGTACCATGCAACGGAAATACGGTAGGATGGGCCACAGACGGTAAAAATCAAGACATACCACATTCTAACGAAACACACCTCGGCCTCGATACCCCCCATCTTCATGGACGCCCCGATGGCCCTCGCCAGGCCGTTGCCATCTGGGGCAGGAGCGGTGATGTGGTGAGCGTCGCAGGTAGCCCCGTAGCCCGCCACCTTGTGAGAATTTGAAACGTAGCACCGGTAGGCCGAGGCGCGATGTAAGGTAAGCGACAGAATGGCAACGGTTCAGACTTCTTATTGGGTGTGCACTGATTTTCCAGACTACGAACGACACCCCATTTTGATTAATGTTTAGCCGGCGAACATGGAAGCGGTCTGTCAGCGTCAGCTGGACCAGCGCAGAAGTTAGATCGGGGCGGGTTCCAACGTGAAGGCAACGACCAACAACAACGACAACAACAACAACAACAACAACAACAGAGACAAAAAATCTGTCGAACGTTTCGCACAAGCGAGCACTCTGCTAATACGCTGCTACATACATACGATCAACCATGAAACCCATGCCTCCGGGTCTTGCACAAAAAACGCGTCAGCCTCAGACTCCTTTTCTCGTCGAAACGTCATGCATACCTCACCTCGCAGTAGATGGTGGCCCCTCTCGCCAGGGCGTGTTCCTCGGTCTCCAGGATAAGCACCCCCGCTCCCTCGCCCATGACGAAGCCGGCTCTGTCCTTGTCGAAGGGTCTCGAGGCCTTCTCGGGGTCGTCATTAAACGAGGTCACCATGGCGCGCATGGAGCAGAACCCGGCGAAGCAGAGCGGGGTCATGGCCGCCTCGGACCCCCCGGCGATCATCACGTCCGCCTGAGCGATAAGACGACAAGACGACAAGACGAGGAAGACGAGACAAGGAAAGCGGGACACGGTTAATCCGGACGACAAGGACGAGGTCAAGATGACGGCGTGCTTTCTTACTTTAACATAGTCTTGTCTATACACAACAACAACAAGAGCAGTTATGGCGTGTACTCAGTTCCTCCTGCCCGCGCGTTCTTCACCTATGAAGACAAGTACGCAGTACACGCCACTGTCATACTAGTAGTCGGATAACCGGTGTGCCATGGATCGATCGCTATCTAAATCGTTTATCAGTTCGTTCTTGGCTGGTTACCGCTCCCCCGTGCTTGTAGAAACACTCTCGCTCTCCGATCTGTGCGACGTGGGGGGAGAGACACAAGAGCTTCGTCTTCGACAAGTGTTCGACAAGTGTTCGACAAATCTTGTTCGACACATGACCATATGACCACGACGGTACTGGCCACACCCTTCGCCATCATGCCCCTTTCTTCCCTTTCCGGGGCACCAGTATCGAAACATCGTTTTAGACCTGTACCGCTACAACGCAACTCTCCAAAAGGACAGAACACATGCCCCACGAGCATGAACCTGACGACGACGATAAACCTCGACGACTGGAGGGCAGGCGGGCCACCGGTCGCACCTCGCCCCTGAGCATGAAGTCCATGGCCGTCCCGATAGCGTGCGTCCCGGTCGCGCAAGCCGATACCACGCCGAAGTTAGGTCCACGGCACTTGTGCTCGATCGCCACGACTCCCGAGGCCGTGTTGGAGATGAGGGCGGGGATAAGGAAAGGCGACACCTACGTACGATGCACGGTATTTCAATGTCGGGGGGGGGGGGGGGAATCATGTTTTGCATGCCTCAGTAGAGCAAATACATACCACACGTCGTCAAAAGGATGGGAGAGGGGGGAGGAGAGGATTGCACTCGCTTCATACCGTTCGATGTTCGCCTGTCTTCATAGCAACAGACGCGGCTTTGCGGACATCTGGCATATCTTGACAGCGGTACCACAGTATCATACGTGAGAACAATTACAGCAGCAAAACGGACAATATCGCCATCAAATTGAGACAGACATTCTCGCCACAATATCGAAAGCAACAACGACAAGCGGAGAAAGAACGTCTAGTCTTTGGCCCTAGGGAGAGCATTCATTTAGTTCCTTGTGGAATCCAAGCTAGAGCTACGTCTACGTACGTGGTAGAGTCGGCAACAGCAGTCACTTTCAAAAGACCAGCAACTTCACGACTGTCCTCGTGGCCTTAAATATTCAAATATGCATGTTTTGATGGGATAAAATAATGGAAAAATGAAAAAACACGGTTCAGGTTGTTTGTTGTGCAAGCCTACCAACTGCTCACCTTTTTGCGCAGCAACAGTCCGAGTGTCCAAGTGACATCAAATAAGTTGCTCCAATGGGGCGAAAGAAGCAAACAAAAACGGTTCACGTTGTTCGCTGGCAATACCGCCCCCCTGCTGTATATGCATACAACCCTTGCTCACCTTCTTGAGCCCCTTCGCCCCTGCTCCGGCAGCGGTAAACTTGTTGCAGTTGTTCTCGAAAAATTCGACGCCCCCGATGCCCGACCCAATCAACACGCCGAATCGGTCCTTCACAAGAGAGGGAACAGGTGGTCGGGCGTTACACATCAGGCCGTTGCCAACAAGACACACATGCGAGTCAGCAATACATAAGAGGGAAAAAAATGCACACCTCTTTCAACGGCGACAGGAGGGGTTCAGCGTTTCATGGTTCCAGGGGGGAGGAGGGGTTCCGTGAATCGTGGTGTTAATGCATACTGCTACACTACTAAAACCATCGTTGAGTCCCTCGAGCCCAATCAAACCAACAGCAGTAGCATCCGACCCGCCCCAATCATAACCACGCGTCTGTGCTTCATCCTCTTTTCGTCTTTGTCTCTTGTCTGGTCACCTTGTCCACCGCCTCTGTGTCGAGCTTTGAGTCCTCTAGCGCCAGCTTCGTGGCAGCCATGGCGAACTGCGTGTAGCGGCCCTGGCGCTTGGCGTCCTTCCCGTCCATCCAGTCTGATGGCTTGAAGTCCTTAACCAAACACCCGATCTGCAAAAAATACACAGGGCCCCAGGTGTAACAAATCTACCACAAGTGTCTAAATTCTTCCCTTCAGAAAGCTGGGTTGGTTGCTGGCGAGAACAGCAGCAGCACCAACACATAAATGGGACAAAATTAGAAACCCGTAGCGTTTGTTCATTGTTCCGCACAACATTTGATAGGACGGATGGCGTGCCAGATTGATCCTCGCATATATACCGTACCGCAATACCGCATACCTTGCACGGGTACTCCTCCGCCCACTCGGGCAGGGTCTCGATCCCGTTCTTTCCGTCAAGCAAAGCCTGGTAGTGGCTATCCGCACCGATGCCCACTGACGAGAGCGAACCTACGCCGGTAATCACAATCTGCATTGCATCAGACAACAATGGGGGGGGGGGGGGGGGGG